TGCACCACAGTGCCCAGCTCCTCCTCTAGCTGATGTGACTGAGTCCCATGTGCCACACATAGGGGTCCTTGCTGCCTGCACAGTGACCTCCAGCTCTGACCCAGGCATTTGGGACGGCAGGGTCTCTCAGAAATTTTCCCTTTTTGCCCGAGTTCTCAGGGTATGTCTCACCGTCTGACGCAAGTTCTACCCTGGCGGGCATGGCTCTCCTGGGAGCCAGCATCCATGCAGGGGCTCTGGCCAGCTTCCTCAGAGGCCTCAAGGAGCCACCCTTTATTCCCCAGGCATAAAGTGGACACCCGATGAGAATGGAGTCATTGCCTTCGACTGCCGGAACAGTGGCTGGTGAGAGCTGGGCGGGGAAAGAGCCTCGGCGCTGGCATGCACCTCCCAGCTTGGGCTCCGTCTCGCTTTCCTGCACTGCCTGCTCCCTCCTCTCCCTCTACCCCAGGGTTTGGGTGGGCAGACCTTACTCCAACACGAGAGCGGGGCCAGCCGCACCCACCGCCCGCATCTGCGCTGCTCCAGGAAGTATCACATTGTCTTTCTCAACCCACACCTCCATCGGGGACACTGAGCGCCCTTCACGCCAACCCTCTCTCGGGCTCTGCTCTCCCCCAGCACCCTTCCGGCAGATTTGTAGCAGAAACTGAGGCAGAATGCAGCTGTCTCCTTTCCTTCTTCTAGCCCCTTGGGATCCCCAGATGATCTAAATCAAAAGAGCAAAGGTTACCCCCAGGCTTGACCAGGCCCATTGGGTGGACATTGTCGCTATTGTTTCCACCCCAATGGCCTCAGAGGCACCCAGTGTTTATGGGACACAATCGCACCTGGTGCAGATGTGGCACTGACCTGAATTTTGGGTACACTAGGCTCAGAATATGAGTACTGTCCCAGTCACTGGAGGATCCTGGCCAGGTGCTTGTTCTGGCTTTGCTCTACCATCTTTGGTCTGTCCGGTTCTTCCTGCTAAAGGTATATACAAGCTGCTACTTCTCCCAAGGACATAGTGATTCTGGTAGACATGAGCGGCAGCATGAAGGGGCTGAGGATGGCTATTGCCAAGCACACCATCACCACCATCTTGGACACCTTGGGAGAGAATGACTTCATCAACATCATAGCGGTAGGTGTGCCTTTCTGGCCGGGAGCAGCTTTGCTTCCCCAGAGAGCCTTGCTTCCATCCACAGCAGGATGACAGCCAATGCTTAGAGCCGGTGGATGCCTGCTCCTGGAGGCTGGGTCTGTCCTCTACATCTAGGGCTTTTCACCCAGGATCTGTAGTCTGCCAAAGGATAGGCTTCAAGAGGTCTGAAATCACATGGAAAGGGTGCAGGTCCGATTGCCCAAGTCCACCTTTTTTATCAGTTTCTCAGAGGAGTCTGGCATCTAATGCAGGTGAAGAACCACGGGCCCAAGTGATACCTGTCTCATCCTGCTCCATGTGCTCTTGGCTGTCTGTCGTAGCTGCTAAGCGGCCTCTCCCTGCTGCCAAGGGACAGACAGACCCTCCCTGGCCCTGCTCCCAGGCCTGTCATCCCACCCCAACCAAAACACGATGGGAGAAAGAACGAATAAAAAGAAAGATCAAGGATGCACAGTAGGAGGATGCTTTTAAAAAGCAGCAAAAGGGAAAGTGGACTAATTCAGCCCTCCTTCAAGGGAGGGGACAGCCGCCTCCAGGTATCCTTGAGAAACCTCCTCCAGTCTACCATAAACTGGCATTTCCTGTCCTTTGGGAAATTTACCTAGTTGGTAGTAGAATGTTAAGGCAAAATTATTTAACTTCAAAATGATTGTGCTGGCAAGCGCAAGGTCCTGAGTTCAATCCATGGTACTGCAAAACAAAACAAAACAAAACAAAACAAAAAACCACAAAATAAATAAAAAGATTGCTCTGAGGTGTGAGAAGGCCCCCCAGCCCCTGAGGTCTTACCTGCCTGGGATGGGCTGGCTGGTAACAGGTTATGCAGCTCACTTTGGGCTCTCTGCTGATCTTGGAGGCAAAAGGCACAGGCCTCCCCCACTGCACTCTAAAGGACCCCTTGGGCAGCCAGCTGAGGAGAGGCACCAGGACCAAGGGATAAGGGAGGATGTTTAGAGCTAAGGCCCTGCAGTTCTATCTGCTCAGAAAAATGGCCAAAGGCACAGTGTAGCCCACACTGGTGGTGCACAGGCAGCTCAGTGCATGCTGGGAGGTGCCTGGGCCCTTGCCCGTGGGTCCAGCTTTCCGCACTGATCTATCTGTTCTCTCATCTCTTCCTGCAACCACAGTACAATGACTACGTCCATTACATCGAGCCCTGTTTTAAAGGCATCCTTGTCCAGGCAGACCGAGACAACCGAGAGGTGAGTGTCCGTCTGTGGCCCAATGCCCCTTGTCATGACAGGAATGGCATCTGCGCAGCCTGCTTCCTAGTCCCTTTTGTTATGCACGTGGTGCTTGGAGGAGCAGAGTGAGTCAGTCAGCAGTTCCCCCTCAGACGCCTGAGGACCACCCATGCTGCTGCTTCTCTGAGCTCCAGTAAGCAGGGCAACCTCACATCTATGGGACCTTCCTCCCTCAGACTGCAGGCTGGCCTTCTGCGGAGGATCCAGGGCTCGGCCTCCCACGTGGCACCCCAGGTGGCCTTTCTACCACATCAGTCTTCATGGGGAGCTTCCTTAATAGAGGACAAATTCAAATCCCTTGGGTGGAGCCTTTTTCTCTGATAAAAAACTAAAGATAAAAAAGACAGAGCAATATGGTTTTTAAGAGATTTTGCATGTCTCTGTGATCGGAGAGATTGGGTTTCGCTTCCTCTTGAACCTCAGCCCTGGCTCCTCCAGTCTTCCGTGACAGGCGCACCACTGAGTGAAGGCCGGAAGCTGAGGTCGTCCCTCGACTCCATCTCTGGACTGTCCTTCGCCCTCTGGCTAGCACACTGGGCACTTGCCTCCAGTGAAGGAGGTGGATTTGTACCATGCCACCCACACTCTCTCTGCTTAACTTGGGGGCATCTGAGAAATAGCTGTGGGAGGGGTGCAGCCCATGGGGTTAGCTGCAGCGCAACAGGGGCCCTGCGCTCACAGCCTCTGGCATTAGTTCTAATCAGCCTCTTCAGTCAGCCAGCTATGAGGAGCCCCCGGCTGCTCCAGCCACTGAGCCCCATCTCATGTTTACCCTGCAGCATTTTAAGCAGCTGGTGGATGAGCTGGTGGTCAAAGGCGTGGGGGTTGTGGACCAAGCCCTGAGTGAGGCCTTCCAGATCCTGAAGCAGGTACCTGCAGCTGTGGAGCCAGGAGGGCTGTGGGAGCAGGAGAAAGGGCCGAGGTGGAGGGCGGGCAGTCACGGTTGTCACGCCCCTGCCCTCCTCTGCCTCACGCAGTTCCAAGAAGCTGGGCGAGGAAGTCTCTGCAACCAGGCCATCATGCTGATCACTGACGGGGCCGTAGAGGACTACGAGCCTGTGTTTGAGAAGTATAACTGGCCGGACCGCAAGGTAGCTCTCTTGGGGGCATTATAGTCGGGGAGGAGGGAGTCCCTCCCTCTTCCAGAGGTAGACTTCTCCCACTGCTATGGAGAGGACAGCAGTGGCACAGCCTGAAGTTCCAAGTCCTTTCTCATGAGAGCCATTCATAAATTCAGACCTGTCCTCATGGACTGTACCAAACTCTGGTGACCTTGGGCCCCGGGAACTGATGTGAGGGGCTTCCAGGTGAAGGACCAGCACGTGGTTTTGAGTCATCAGAACTGCCAGGCTGTCTGGCCTTGGGCCTGCTTTACAATTGTCATGGCCATGGGCAAGCCACATAGCTGCTCAGGCCTCAGAGTCCTTCCTGATTAAGAGGGGCTCAGGTCAGGCATGATGGTACAGTCTGGAAGGCTGAGGCAGGAGGAGCACAAGCCCAGCCTGAGCAACTTAGCCACTTTGTGAGTGAGACCTTGTCTCAAAATAAAAAAAAATTAAAGAGGGCTGGGGATATAGCTTAGTGCCAAGGCACTAGGTTCAATCCCTAGTAGCAGAAAAAACAAACAAAACAAGAGAAGTGGGTCTGAGTGGAGAAATTGGTAACTGAGGGGATCCTGACCCAACAGCTAAGCCCCACATAAAGAGGGGCTGCATGACTGTGCTGCAAAATCAACCTGCCTCTCACGGACTAGGTCCGAGTCTTCACTTACCTCATCGGGAGAGAAGTGACATTCGCTGACCGCTTGAAGTGGATTGCCTGCAACAACAAAGGTGCATGGGCACTGGCGGGCACCCTGAAGTCAAGGCTGCACATACGTGGGACGGCATCCCCAGTCCCCGCAGGGGCTGAGCGCGGGGTCTGTAGTGGAGGCCTTAAAGGGGAACAATGCCTTGCAGAGAACAGTTGCCTCCTCCATCGTCCCCACTTGGAAAAGGTGATATAGCAGGTGGCTTTCTCCTGGAGCCTGAATTAATGCCCCAGAATCCTTCAGGGCCTCTGGGTCATAATGTCATCTGAAGTGGAAGTTAGAAATCACCTGTTTGCCCAGTGTTACAGAAGGAACAGCTGTCTTCAAGTAGAGTCTTGAAGAGGGGATGGTGGCCCCACATTTTCAAGGCCAGACCTCCAAGGGTCTGAGGCCAGGGGCTCTTTGGGCGCTGCTGTTCCGTTTCACTGGCATGTGGAATTAATGTTTGTGAGAGACACTGAGGCCAAAGAGCAGCACCTGTTCTAAAGTACTCATACCCTTAGACTCCACTTACCCTCTTAAATGTCACTACAGGCACGGGGAAGATGAAGCAGGCCCCACCCCTAGCCATAGGAAAGACAATGGTCAGGGAAATGAGGAGGGTGGGCTTAGAGAGGACAGGGACCACCGCCCTGAAAAGACCTGCCCTGAAATCAGAACCTAAGACAGCGACACATAGAAGGCTCATTGAGGCTGCTGCTGTGATGCTGTGCCTCGGGGGGCTCTGGAGCCGGGTGTCAGTAGCTGTGAGGGTGCTGTGCGGCCCAAGGCCTCGGAGTGAAGGTCCCCTCTACAGCCCAACTCTATGGTCTCCCCCAGGCTACTTCACCCAGATCTCCACATTGGCTGATGCGCAGGAGAACGTCATGGAATACCTGCACGTGCTGAGCCGGCCCATGGTCATCAACCATGACCATGACATCATCTGGACAGAAGCCTACATGGACAGCAAGGTGAGCCTGAGGGTGGCTCTGGAACCCAGAGGTAGCTTTCTGGGTCAGAGAAGGTGAGCATTATACATCCTCAGGAAAAGTCCTGAAAGAAAGACATTTGCCTTTTTCTGGCAGCAGCCCTCTGCCCACTAATAGGGTCACTGCCAACGTGTTGTCCCCAGAGATCCAGAACCCGGCCCCCACAGAACCTGCCTCCCTGTGTGCAGGGCCCCCTGCTAAATGTGCTCACCCCTCTTTACCCCCCCACGGCCACCCACCTTGCTCACTATCCTCTTCTTCCCCTCATTCTGGGATGAAAGCTGTCAACTCCATAGCTCACCCTCATGGGTCCCCCATACTCGCCCACCGCAGGGTCCCCACATGTCAAAGAGATAGTAGGACCAAGGGTCTTACACAAAGGAACAGATGCCAAAGGTAGAGGTCCAATGGGATTTGGGGGGAGGGGGATCTTCTTGCCACTGTTCACATCCCAACGCTGTGGAGCCACCTGCTTTAGTGGTGTGTACCACACTGATGCTTAACTACTATGGAAGTAGAGTTCTTCCTCACACAAGAGGTTTAGAGCTGGGCATCTGGAAGCTGATGAGGGGCATCAGGGTCCCAGGCTACTTCCAGGGTCACCTTCACGTCCCCAGAATGCGGCCCTCTTCCCCCTCCTCCCCGTGGTCAGAGAGGCTGGTGGAATTGTAACCACCAGAGCCCATATTCCAGGCTTTGGGAAGATGGGAAGGGCAAGTCTTCCTGATGGCGAATCTACCTGTCTTTGACCAGGACATAGCCCGGGGAGATAGCTCAGTAGAATAAGCGCCTGTCTGACCAGGACACAGGAGCAAAGGAGGCTGGGAACTCAGCTTCTCAGCTTTTCTTCTGGCATGTTCAATATCTAGGGCAGTGGCACGCTTATCTCTTAATAGCACATATGAGCCTTTTGCCAAATTTGGGGGTTAAAACCACCTTAATTGACTTTAAAGGGACTTCAGCTTGTAAGTAGTGCCCTGGACATTTGTCTGTCACCTACTGCTGTCCCTAAGGCTGATGCTCAGAAGGGAAGAGCATGCTTCACTTGGGCAGGCTGTGCCTTCCTTCCAGGTTCTTGCTGTTCATGGGGCCCCATCTGTCCAAGGCGGAGGAGGGAGATGGCGGCTGGAGCGGGGTATTCCTTGACCTTGTCTCCCAATGCTGTATATGGTTAGATTTCTAAACTTCTCTAACGGTGCTCTATGTGCTACTCTCTTTGGTCCTTGCTCCGTCTCTGTCCTGCATCCATCCAACTTTATGACAGCTGCCAGCCTGGGAAGGAGCCGACTCCCAGTATGCCCCATGTACACGTCCCTCCTGCGGAGCATGGAGCTGTGCTGAGGGAGCCGGCCTAGGAAGCCTTTCAGATCCCCCAAAGCCAGTGAGGCAGGCTTGTGCCCGGAAAAACAAAGCAGTGTTCGGGTGTGTGCTTGGCAGAAGGAACAGGAAAAGGAGAGTGAAGAGACAACACTCTGCCTTCCTGTAACACCTTGAAAGGGACTTGGAGCTAGGTGTGGCAGCGTGCATCTGTGACCGCAGCTGCTTGTAGAGCTGAGGTGGGAAGATTTCAAGTTTAAAGCCAGAAAAATAGAAAGGTATAACACAATGAAAAGGAAAGCAAGAACTTGAGGATTAGATAAGGAGGAGAGGGCAAGGAGAAAAGCTAGGAAACACGAGAGGGGTAAAGCCATACATTTATATGTACAAGATGGTTAAGGCAATGATCCTGAGATTCTGCAGCAGGTTGTTGAAACTAGCAGTTAATTGGTAGGATTCTCACCCTGACTATATATGCTAATACCTGTGAACCAAGCAACTGCACTGAAGATAGCAATGTGTAATAGTAGGGTCATGCTTGGAAGGCCTGTCATTCTGGTCTTCTAAATATGTACTGCTTGTCATGATAGACCAGTGACTGCCATACTGCCAAGTAAATGTTTCAGAAAAAAAGGATAATAAATGAAAATGAGACAAGAAAAAAAAATGTCACAGGACTGTCCTGCTACAATGCTGTATATGGTTAGATTTCTAAACTTCTGTGTAAAAATATGTAATTGTTTATTCCTATTTTTTAAAATATTGTTTTATTTAAAAAAATTTTTTCTTCACATTCTGTAGGGACTTAAAGGCTAACATATCATTACTTGATGGAAAATACCTGTTCCATGTTACACCTAAGATGTTTGATATTCAGCCAGATAATGAGGTTAAGCTCAACTGTTTGTGTTGTAGGGTAATAACAATAAGCTTCTCTTCTGGAGAGTTAACAACCTAAGTTTGCAGACCAAAAATTAGAGAAAAAGAAGGGCTGCAAGGACAGCCAGCATTTTGGCCCTAGCCTTTCAAGGTCGGTGAGGACTCAGGACATAGGAGAACCTGTAGTGTAATATCATGTAACTCAGTTGTGTCCCAAATTTTCTGATCAAGGAGATTATGGGACCACAGAGGAAAGTGATCAATGATGTAGTGTGTGCCTAAGGAGAGTCGCATGGAGAGAAAATATTCTCTCTGACTTTTACAGAGAGCAAATTGGTCAAACAATGGCCGTGACTCACCCACAAGACTGACACTGACGAAAGATCTACAAATTGCAGTACAGGGTTTCAGGATAAAATCCTGAGGGGATTTGACTGACCTGATCATATACAAAAGCTACATCTCTTATTATCTTGGTCTTAACCATCCAGCAGAAAAGTGTAAAAACAAAGTATAAAATGTAAAGCCATATTAATATACTGAACTATAAAAGGCTCAAGTCAACAACTTCTGACATTGCCAGTCTTACGGATAACCCACTACTATTATGAGGTACTGGACTATTTTGGAATATTTTGCTGAATTTATGCACCTATATTTAAATGATAATGGAATAGCCTTCTCTGACAAAACTAAACAAGGAAAGGGGATACAAATGAACAACCATTTTGTATCTGCATATTCAAAATAGTTACAATAGATATACAGCTACATTCTCTTAATTCAGTGAAGAGAAAGATTTGTTCTAATAGTGTTTGTGGACAGGATATCATGTCTCCATCTTGTACAATGAATAACCACTAAGACAACAATATGCAATGTATTAAATATTGAAACTGTCCTACTAATTGGTTTTGAAACTGTCTCATTCCTATTTGTTTCTCAATAAAATTATTTTTTAAAAAAAGTTTAAAGCCAGCCTGGCCTACTCAGCAAGAGCTCGTCTCGAAATAAAATAGAAAGGGCTGGGGATGTGACTCAGAGATACAGCACTTGCCCGACATGCACAAGACTGAATTCCATCCCTAGTCACACACACACACACACACACACACACACACAATTTTTTGTTCTAGGTGAGTTGTGTCAGGCTGTCCTCAGGTACTTCATGGACAACCTTCTGATATTCCAGGGTCTCTGGTTCTTCAAGCACACAAATGAAGCTATAGCTTTATCTCCACTTTAAAGAATGACCCCTTCCCTGCAATTCCAATCCCCCTAGTCCTGCGTCTCCTCTATTTCCTCCTTCCCTCCTCTTCTCCGTGACTTTGGAATCACTGAGGTCAACATTCCTGGCCCCCCTTTGGGCACCTCCAAGCTGAAGCTGTGAATCCACTGGGAGGGCAGATGTCCCCACCCTATACCAATGACTCACTCCAGTGAGGAATGGCTCCTAAAGGGGTGGGGAATGGGGGGGGGCATCTTGCTGTCTTACCTGACCTCAGTTATGGCTTGTGGCCACCATACCAGAGGTCTGTGCAAATGCTTATGCCAGGCTAAGCCTCTGTACTTCTGGGAAGGCACAGAATGGCCCATTTTCCCATGCAGGCTCCTCTGTGACCTGGCCAAGGTAAAAGGGCTTGGGGCACATGCTTGAGAGCTGGGTGTGGGCCCAGGGCCTTGCCCATGACAGGAGCCTGGGGCTCCTGCTCAACCCCCAGCACTCCTGCCAGCTTCCTTTGGCAGAGAGGAGAGGCCTTGTCTGAGATTTCTTCCCGCCTGTGGAAGGTGACACTGAGGAGCTCAATCACTGACATGTCCTCCCCACTGTGCTCTGAGCAGGATGCACCAGTGGGCACCTCAGCCACCCCCAACCTCTACCCTCTCCTCTCTGGCAGCTCTTTACCTCGAAGACGCAGAGCCTGATGCTCCTCACTACCGTGGCCATGCCCGTCTTCAGCAAAAAGAATGAAACGGTGAGTGGCCACTCCCCAAGGTAGCAGCAGGGACCAGAGCACTTTGTAGGCCAGTGGTTTCTTGCTTGGGTGAGCATCAAAGCCGCCCTGAGAGGGTTTGAGCACAGACTCCTGTATCCTGTCCCAGACTGACAATATTGCAGCCTTTGGTCAGTGGCAAGGCTGAGGGTCTATAACTGCCCAAAGCTCATTACCCCCGTGGTCCTGCCCAGCCAGTTGGTGGTCAGTCCTGCCACTCTGCCCCTGCTCCACTACTTTGGGGATACAAGGCCAGAGGAGGCATCTTCCAGGCTTCCAGGACACCCACACTTAACCTGCCAGGCTGGGCAGACTCTAACTTGGTTGTGAGAGTCTCTAATGAGAGAATTTGTGGAGCCTTTCATCCTCGCTCCGGTCAGGAATTGCTTTGTTGGCCCCATGCCCCGCGAAGTCCCTCAGATCCCAGTACTTCAGCTTCTGATGTACAGATGAATATTTCATTCAACTTTGTATTTCATTTAAATATTACCACTGAAATATTAATACAGGGCATTAATCTTCTGAGCAGCTAAGTGGGCTCCCAGGACTATCCTGACAGGCTCTAAATTTTCATTTAGAGAGCTAAAATCTAACTGCAAGGAAGGTCCACCTGAGACGCGAGTGACTTCCTCATCCAGGCTCTAAAAGAACCTGGAGGGCCACAGAGATAGCTCAGCAGTCTGTGTCTGCCTAGGCAAGCACAAGGACCCGGGTTTGATCCGGTATTGCGTGCTGTGCCAGCACCACCCTGGCATGCCAAACCAGGCACCAAGACCAGTCGTGGTGGCACACACCTGTAATCCCAGCACTGGGGAGGCTGAGACAGGAGGATCCCTATGAGTTCAAGGTGTGTAGTGAGACCCTGTACCAAATACATGAATATTAAATTTAATTAATTAAGTAAATTAAATACAAAGACCTAGAGCCCGATCTGGCCTGGTGCACAGGGGAGCCTGCCCTCCTTGCCCCTGTGGTTCTCTTCCAGAGGTCCCATGGCATTCTCCTGGGTGTGGTGGGCTCTGATGTGACACTGAGGGAGCTGATGAAGCTGGCACCCCGCTACAAGGTGAGCCTCGGTCAGCCCCTACCTTTGGGGCAGGGGTTTCCATCCCTGGGACAAAATACCCGAGAAAACTAACTTACAAGGGGGAGGACTTACTGTGGTGGGCCCTGCCGCTTTGGGGCTGGTGATGAGGCAGTGTAGCACAAGCAGACCTAGAGTGTAGCAGACTACTAACCACATAGCAGCATGGAAGAGAGAACTACGAGGGGCTGGAGTCCCCCTGTGCCCTCCAAGACACACCCAACCCCTGTGGCCTAACTGCTTCCTACCTGTCAAGCCTGTAGTACAGAAGCCTTTGGGAGACACTTAGGATCTAGACTCTAACGGGGGCCCAAGAGCCTCTCCCCAGGTAGTGGCAGCCTGGCCCACAACTCAGAAGGGGCTGCTCCATCTGGGCCCCAGGCTAGCCTCGTGTTGAGCACAGTAACGGCAGCTTGTCGTCCTGGGACCTTTTGCCATCACCAGCTCTGACTTGCTTTGTGGCCTTCAAGAAGTTATTTGTCTGCCCAGGGCTTCTGTCTCAATCTGCTTCTGTATATTTCACAGTCCAGCTTTGAGAGTGAAGGAGATGACGTCATCAAGGTACCTAGAGTAGGTGTTAGGAAAGAGTTGGGCAATGATGCACTTTGGTAGGGTTGCTGCAAACGCCAGGGTTTGGAAAGGACTTCAGAATCTACTGGTGGAAGGATGATGCTGGCTCAGTTCCACCGTTTGTGTCTGAAAATCTCATAGCTGTGAGCTGCCGTCTTGAGCCACCACACAGCCTCAAACCCCTTCCCAACACAGTCATCCCACACTAACAGCATCTGATGCTCTCTACCTCCGACTCTCACAGCTCGGGGTCCATGGATACGCCTTCCTGAACACGAACAACGGCTACATCCTCTCGCATCCTGACCTCCGACCTTTGGTAGGTACACATCTCATTTGCCTTGGGATCCTTTGGGAGTCTTTCACAAAACATTCCAAACCCAGTGAATAATATGAGAAAAAATATGATTAAGTCATGGTTCTCATTTTTAAATTGTTTATAGTCTAATAATAGAGACAAGACAAAAATGTGTGAAATTATTGATAAGCACACCAGAGTGCACGTAATTCGAGGCTGTGGTTTTGAAGCTAACTAACTGGAGGGCAGGGCGTTAATCAGCCTTCTACTACTGTAACAAGATACCCGAGAAAGTCAACTTATAAAGAAAAAAAGATTTATTTTTGGTATACAGATTTGGAATTTTCAATTCCTAGTGAGTTGACCTACTGTTTTTAGGCCTGCGGTGGTGGTGAGGGATCATGATATTGCAGGAACATATGGTACTGCTGCTGGTGGTGGTGGTGGTGGTGGGAGAGCAGAGCGAGAGAAAGAGAGACAAATCCCGAATTTTCTCTGGAGCTACACTGCCAATGACCTGCCTTGCTCCCACTAGACCCCTTCCCTTAAGAGTCGCCATGCTGGGGACTATGCCTATAATACACGAGCTTTGGGAAGTTATTATAGGCTCCAGCACAGTACACATTTGGTCCCCGTCCCCTCACTGCCTCAGTGGCTCCAGTTCTCTTGCAGCTTACAAGTGTAACAGCAAAACTCCAGGGGACCCTGAAATGGGCATGAATAACGGGCTGACAAAAAAACTGACAAGGGAACCAGTCATGACAGCGGGGAGGTGGGGAGGCATCATGAATTTGTCTTCGGTTGTTTCTGAAGTCTGCCCACTTCCTAACTCCCTCTGTCTTGATACAGTCCTTCAAGGCGTTTTCACATGAATTCAACTCAGCAGTTGGTGGCCGAGAAAGAAAGTTGCATTGATCCATCTGAAAGCTGTACCCTAAAGTGGAGGCTTTCTTCTTTCCTGGCCACAGTACATGGTCGCGGCCATGGCCATGGCCGTCACAGCTGCCCCTTTCAGGGCAATGGTTGGTAGGGGAGCTAAAGTCCTAGAGGAATCTTAGCACCCTCCCCTCCCCCAGTCTTCTGTCAAGTAATAGGGAGAGTTCACGGCAGTGCATCTCTGGAGAATTTTCTTTGCCCTTGATGTCATTTGTAGAAGCCAGTCTATATCCCAATTCATTCTGTTTGGTTCAAATAGATATTGAGTGTCCACAAGGCAATTGATTGAGCTATTTCAGGCAAACTACAGGATTCAGGGTAGAGAGATCAGGGCACATGAGACAGCCCGGTTCCCCCCGTCTTCACAATTCAGATTCGGAGGGGTAAGCATCTCTACCCATAACGTGTCACAGTGCTAGGCCAGTGAGCTCAGTGGGAGACAGCCTCAGTGCGAGCGTGTGCCTCACTAAGGAAGAAATAACACCAGTGCTGATCCTGGAGCTCACTTGTAGAAGTAAGGGCACTGATCAGAAACCCACCTGTCACCATCTGTGTCACCTGGATGAATATAAGGCTTTCACCAATCAATTCATATTGTGAACTGCAATTCATAAGTCCATGGCCATCAGAGTTGCCTTTTTCAGTGCCATGGCTGGTAGAGGAGCTAAAGTCCTAGAGGAATCTTAGCATACGCTCCTCCCCCAGTCTGGTCAAGTCATAGAGAGTGTTCAGGACAGTGTCTCTGGAGCATTTTCTTTGCCCTTGATGTGTCTACCATGTACCTAATCTTACGATGCTTTGAAGAATGCTATGAACAGAAGTTTTTGTCAAATTAAGGAAGTAAGATTTACAGCAATTGAACAATTCCAGACTAAACCACATGGAACATGATTACATGAGATTGTGGGAAGGCCAAAGGCATGAGCTCACTAAAGAAGCCACTATCAGGAAAACATGAAAGGATGTGCCTAGCGATAAATGGAAAGGTCATGGATGGATCTAAGCTCTTCCCATGTCAGTGCCGCTAAGATAGTAGAATTTCGAATTTAACATGAAGGGCTAACTATGCCTTTCAGGGGACATCAGGAGGTAGGAAAAGGCAGTGGAATGTTATGCTCACTCCAAAGAAACAGATTGCATGAAATGTGCTGGGACAGTGCTGTTCAATGCGGATGGATGTCAATAGGCAACATGCAGAACATCTCACAGCCTGGAGGAGGAGGAAAGAATGAAGGAAGGACCCCGGCAGCACTTGCACTACAGACCTCCTGAACAGGCGACAAACAGGAATGATGCTTTCCTGGAAAGAAATTATCAAGCAATAAAGAAATACTCTCAGAATCTGAGCACGCAAAGACAGAGACCTCAACCCTACGAGCACCTGCCAGGGATTCCTTTTACTAGATAGTCATGTTTTTCATTTACCTGATGATAAACTATCTTCTTTCCTTTCATGATGGGGTTACTAACCTAAACCCAGGAGGGATTGAAGACTTAATTGTAGATAATTGGGTGAGATCTGTCTTAGCATGAGGAAGGGTATCAAGGCCAGAAAATAATCACGATAGAATGTTAATTAATGGCTCTCCATCATCAAGTTGGTATCAAACTCTGCAGACCTGCCCTTGGCTCTGTCCCTTTCAAAAATTCTGCCCACAAGATGAAAATGTATGTGACAGATGTCCTGAGATCTACAAGATATGGCTGATCTAGAGAGTGAGAGAATGAGTACAAGAGAGTATTAAAATATTCTCATTAAGCAATGAGCTAAAACTATTAAGATGACATTGATTAGGAATGTGCAGACGCGTGATTCAACAGTGCAGCTCAGAATGGAGGGAGGCCAGAAGGTGGCTGACGGGGAGCTTTATATCACAGTTGCCACAGAAGTATGAGAGTCCAGGCAGCCAGTGGACTCGTAGGCAGCCACTAAGGCTGAAGAATACTTTGGCTCACACATCACGCCCCCCACCACAGTGGCCGGATTCCGTACAGAATGTTGATTTTTATCCTGGAATCTTCCTGTGGGGGGATCCTGACAAAGCAGAGCATATTCAGAGGGAGCCAAACTACCAGCAAAATGGGAATATCAGGCTGGAAAAAGTCACTCCCAAGAGAGTCAGGACTTTGGAACAGCGGAAGGTTTCTGGTAGGAGCACACTCTGTGGCTCCAGGGGAAAGAACTAAGATTGGTGGATTAAACTTTACAGGGAGGTGAGGAGATGTATCTCTGTATGTAAGCAAGATGGTTTGGACAACTTACTATGGATTTCTGCTGGTCTGTGTCTCCTTTTTTCAATTCTTTGTCATTTTTCTCTTCTTAATTTCCTTTATATTTCTTTCTTTTTAGCTTTCTTCTTCCAATTTTGCATGCATATATCTGGTAATATGAACAACTAATTTGAAGACAACACTATGCATTACAACAAATACTGTGAAATTCTTATTATTTTATTTAGTGAATTTCTGTATCATTTATAATATTTCTGTTTTAATACTATTTTGCACCTATTTTAAAAAATTAAAAAAATTAAGTTTTATAGGGAGACAAATTGCAGGTCTGTAAGAGGAAGAACTTTCTAACAATTAGAGCTGTCCAAACTATGGCAGCTGACTCACAAACCTGGAGGTCTTCCTCTTGGGAAATATCCACCCAGCGGCCGTGAGACCATCTGTCACAAATGTGGCCAGGAAATCTGTGTGTTGGATGGAAGTTTGGTCCAGAGAGCTTAAGGAATCCCTTGGATTCTTTGATCTCTTTTTGTATCCATGAAAGGCTTTATGTAATAGAGAAAATAAGAGTAGGGCTACGTGCTAACCTGGTGTTTTCCTTCCTGCCCATGCACTCCAGTACAGAGAGGGGAAAAAACTGAAGCCCAAGCCCAACTACAACAGCGTGGACCTCTCTGAAGTGGAGTGGGAAGACCAAGCTGAAGTCGTGAGTGGGGGAAAAAAGGGCAAAGAGAAGCTGGGTTGTGTAGTTCCGTATCAAACCAGTGAGTGGCTGCAGGCATCGAGGCTGCTCTGTTCTTCAAAGCAGAATGGTTCAAGCCCAGAGCCTTTACAAACCATAGCCAGAGGTCCTATTATGTGTAATTGGTTTAGCAACTAACACAATATATCTTCCTGAGTCACCCGGATGAACTCACAGCTCTAAGCTACTGAGTTTGAGTTTCAGTGATGTGTTAGCCTGGCCTTTGGTCTCCATATCAGACTTTGGCAGAAATTATGTCTCCACAACATGACACTGGATCCCCCGATGCCTCAGGCCCCTTCGGGGCATCGCCTTGATGACTGCCTAGAATTATAACCTAAATGGCAGCTAGAGTCAGGTCTCTCTTCCCTCCTGGTGGTCTGTTTGGAGGGAAGGGGAAGAATCAAGTGTCTCAAGGCATCAGCTGCAATCTGATCAGTAAAGTTCAGATCCTCCAGTCCTCCGGTGTGAGTCACAGAACTAACATGACTCCCTTTGCTCCCAAAGCTGAGGACAGCCATGATCAATGGGGAAACAGGCTCCTTCTCTATGGATGTGAAGGTTCCTCTGGACAAAGGGGTAAGGAGCTGGACGCTGAACCAGGATGAGCTTCCAGTGAGGCAAATTTCAACCTTTGCATTGAGATCTGATTCAGATTTAGCTTAAAGCGAGCTTATGTGGGTGCTTGCTGTAGCCTCTAGAGCTTGGTTAGAGGTCTGTCCACGGGAGCGGCTGCCCGGGGAAACCCTAGCCAAGGAGCCACACTCCTGCTCACATCTGGGCTTGGTTCTTTGGAGACTGGTGAGTGGGACAGGTTAGCCCATGTCATCTACAGCTCTTCATCCTCTGCTGCCTGCTATCTGGCCCATTTGGTTATTTGTGATGAGAGAGAAAAGTGACAGCTAATTGTGCAGATTGTCAACAGCTCTACAAATCATGTTATGCAAGAAGAGCTAATTTTCACCCACTTGTAATCATGGGAATCAGGAATCCATACCCTGTTGACACCACTAACTCTCTTTACACACACACACATCATTTAGGAAAGGCCAGTGCATCTAAGCAGGTCCCATTGCATCCACTGATTTGGCATTGTCCCCTGACATATTTACAAATGTCACCTCCTCCCACACAGCCACCCCCACCTCCTCCTCCTGCTGCCCATCTGCCTCAGCTCAGAGAACACAGCATCTGTCTGCAGAAATTACACCCAAGTTCTTCTACAAGCGCAGCCCTCTACAGAGGCCAAACAGGAAGGCACTGGGAAGCGAAGCGTCCCTCTTGGGCTGTGGGCTGCTTTTCATTGTGACTACCATCTGATTTCTGTGGCATCTAAGCTCTGGAGTGGGAAGGGTAGAACAGGCAATTGCTGGAAGCAGGCCACCTGCAACAGCTGCTCCTTCTCCTGACCCAGAAAAGCCAAGGTTTCTCCCATGCACCCCATCCTCACCCCAGCCGGGCTCCTATGAGGGCCGCCATGCAGAGCATTTGCCCATAATGGTGCAGTAACACGCAGCCCCACCACCCCACCTGAGGACAGATTGAGTGTGGCTGTGCCGAGTCTCAGACACATCAGTAGGCGAGGCTTGCCTTCTGTCCTCTTCTCCCAGGCTCCCTATCCTCAGGCTGCCTTCGCACTTCCCAAAGCCCCACAGCAAAGCTCTGAGCACAGCCAGCGGTGTGACCTTTCCTGGAAATATCTGCTTGTCCTTTCAAAATGTGTTCATTGCTGCTAATCACCATCCAGGCTACTATTTTGAATATAACCAAACCTCCTGGCACATAAGCGCTTTGATGTAAAGGAGGAGAAAGAGAAGGAGGGGAGGAAGAGTGAAAGAGCTGTTACAGATATTTCACAGCATTTAGCCGTTTATGTCCCTACTACCAACACCACTTTATAAGGTTAGTACCCCCCTCACCCTATTTTCTTTTGCCATTTAGAAAAAGCCAAAAGCTTGCCTGATGTCACACAGATAATGCGTTGCAACTCTAGACTACATGCCCCTAACCTCTGGTGGCTACATTTTTCTGAAGGACTGGCTCTGAATTCTCAAGTTTCTAACATCAAAGATTTCCCCAAAGTGTCTCTAAAAGTGTTTCTATTTCATCTTAAAATCTTGTGTCTTGAGGTCTTGGAGGTGCAGTTCAGTGGGCAAACCCTGCCTAGCATGTGTGAGGCCCCCATACTGCAAATATAAATAAAACAAAATCCACTGGCTTCTGCATTCCATGCATCCCATTAGAGCTCACTCAGCCCTCTGTCATCTTTTCTGCCTTTGTTCTCTCCCCAAAGCTCCTGGCCCACACTGTGCATGGAGTCAGCACAGTGGCACTGAGCTCCTACCTGGTATGGCCCATTATGATGCCACTCTTCTCTGATGTGGCTGGGTTATTTTTTTCATTATTGACCATTCTGTGTCCCCCATGTCTTCTCTTCCTCAGCGTCCGCTGCATGACAGTGTGTTCCAGTTGCCCACCCACCCTGACCCTCTCAGTTCAGTGGTGCATCTCAGTTTATAAGCTGGTTCCTCTGTAGGAACACTGTGCAAGCCCAGGTCTAGGCCAAGGAAAGCTGCCTTAGAGCATTGTGGGAATATCTGTCATCATTCCAGTCTGCCTCCTGGGGCCTATGCAGTTACCTATGCATCCTAATTTCCCATGGATCAATTCAGACCTTTCTCCATCTGCAGCCACAGTGGCACCACTCAGGAAAGTTGTAGCAACCCCAGCATGACTAAGAGAAGGACTCAGACACTTAGAAACCTACAGGAACACACAGAGCATGTTAAGAAAAGCGAATGTGAAACAGACTCATTGAAGCCGCAGGGTTAAGGGCATTAGGAATTATGGCAAACTGGAGAGATAGGCATGTCTAATGGACAGAGTCAAACATCCTATTTAAAATGTGCCCAATTGATTCCAAAAATATTAAGAACATAGCCTGGGCCAAAGCCTCGTATAGCAAAGGCATCCACCTTGGTGCATGGGATTCCTATCTAGCGCCTCACCGGGGGCTTTTTGTCTCAGGAAGCCATCCAATAGCAGGTATCATACTTTCTGACCCACAAGCAACATCTTGGCCAAATGTCCTTGTCACAAATTTAAAAGACCAAACCAGAAAAGCATTCTAGAGCTCTAGGCTGGGGTCTTTTCTATCACCCCCATGATATTTGATCATTTAGAATGAATAGCTAGCAATGGAAGGAAAGAGAGGCAGCCTTGTTCTTTAGCAGGCTCTGTGTCCCTCTGCATGAAGCCCTCTGGCTCCAGGTATCTGTGCAGCCAGCATGGCCAGGACAGAGCAGCCACGCAGTGCCCGGCGCCTCGAGGACCTCCAGCATGGCTGGACTTTGTCCCTGCGACTCTCTGGCAGACTTTGCTCTGGCCACGCCCAACTTGGACCCACACAGGGATCAAGCCCAGGAACTGTACTTCCAGCTCAGCTATTCGACACAGTACAAGATCATTATAAGAGGCCAGTCATAGTGGCAAAGACCTGTAAGCTGAGGAAAGAGAATCACCATGAGTTCGAGGCCAACCTGGGCTACTTAGCAAGATCCTGTCTCAAAGAGAGAGAGAGAGAGAGAGAGAGAGAGAGAGAGAGAGAGAGAGAGAGAGCAAGCGAGAAAGCACTATAAAAAGAGTGGATTTCTAAAAATGTATTTTAGTACAAGGTCTACAGGGTCTCAATATGTAGATCGGACTCATAGTGATTCTCCTGTTTTTAGCCTTCTAAGCGCTGGGATTACAGGCGCGCACCACCACGCTCAGTCTCAATCACTGACCGTCTCAGTGCGCCCCAGCGGTGGGGCTAGTGCAGCACACCAGGATTGAACCCCAGCCGCTGCGCTCTGCCTCTGGCTTATTAGGATTTTTATTTTTTATATTAAACCTATTTTTTATATATTTAAAGTACGTGAATTATGTATTGATATACATATACCTAATGAAAAGATTATTATATTCAACAAATAATGCAATCAGGGGGCTTGCGGGTTATCTCAGTTGTTTAAGCGCCTGCTTGGGCAAACCCAGTCAGGTGCAGGGACTGTGGTTTGATCCCCAGACCTGGCCATAAGGCAGCCTGAGCCAGCCAAAAACAAACAGACAATAATAATAATAATGCAATCATATATGATAGATTAAATATATATTCATCCTTTTTTTTCTTATGTGTGCTAAGGGGACCTACAATTTATATTTTCAATTCGCTTGTACCATCAGCATATACTACGAAGTTATTAGCTCTAGACATCCTACGTAACCACCACTTCAGATGTTGTGAGCCACGTTTCCCCTTTTCCACTCTCCCATCCCCCACCACCTAGTAACTGCTGTTTTATTTTATTTTATTTATGTGTGTGTGTGTGTGTGTGTGTGTGTGTGGCCAGCTCAGCCCACTAGGGGGCGGGGCTGGCTGGCATGTGGTGCTGGGGGATTGAACCGCGGTCCCTGTGCTTTGCCAAGCTTGTTCTAAGTAGGTGCTTTAGACCACTGAGCCATCTCCCCAGCCCAGTAACTGCTGTTTTATTACCTGCTTACGTATCTCTTGGGGCTTTTTAAGAAGATTCTACACGATTCCACTGAGCTCATGCAGCATTGGTCTCTCTGTGTCTTCCTTATTTCACTTGGCATAATGCTTTCTAGGTTCATCCACGTCATTGCAAGCACCAGAATCACCTTCTAAGGCTCAGAGCATTCCACCATGTATAAAAGATGCCGGTTTCTTCTTGCAATTCCTTTATCCAGCCGTCCATCAATAGACACTTGGTTTGTTTCCATATCTTGACTACTGTGAATAACAGAGCAATGAACATGGCAATGCAGATATTTTGCGAGATGGTGATTTCATTTCTTTAGGGTATTTAGCCAGCAGAGGGATTGGTGGGTCATATGGTAGTTCTATTTTTAATTTTTCTAGGAAAATTCCTACTGCTTTCCACAATGGTTGCACAAATCTACACCAACGGTCTCTATCCTCTCTAACAGTGTGCCCTCCCCCTCCACTCTACACCTCCAACAGCTCCTCTTTTGCACACTCCCACCAACACTCACTACTTCTTGTCATTTTATAAAAGCCATTCTAATCAGCATGAAGTGACATCTCATGGTGATTGTGATTTGCATTTCTCTGATGATTAGTAACATTGAGCCCCTTTTCATACACCTCTTGGCATTTTCTTGTCTATACTGGGGGGTGGGTTACTGGGAATCAAACTCACAACCTCGTGCTTGCCAGGCAGGTGCATCAGAAATGATACAGAATTTCACTAAACAAAATAATAAGAATTCAACAATGGATGTTATGTTGCATATTGTCTTCAAATCAGTTGTTCAGATTACCAGATATAAACATGCAAAATTGGTTGAAAAAATAAAGAGAAAAAAATGAAGCATTAACTGCTCCTTTCAATAGACCAGCTGTCTACTTTTGAAAAATATCTATTTAGTTCTTTTACCATTTTTAAATTGAGTTATTTGGCCTTCTTCTGTTGAAGTGAATAACTTTATTCAGATTCTAACCCTTAACACGTATATGGCTTGTAAATATTTTTCCCCAATCTGTAGGTTGGCTTATT